GCGCCCGCCCCCCCCCCCCCCGTGCTGACACGCCGCATGTCGCCCCCACCCCCCCCTCAGTGCGCTGACACGCTGCAGTGTCACCCACTGGTAAGCTGTGGTCTCCCACTCATTGACATACTGCAGTCTAAATCTCTCTCTCCCACTGACACACTGCAGTCTCATTCATTGATGCTGCAGCCTAACACTCATGGACACTCTGTGGTCTCACTCGATTTGACAAAATGCAGTCCCACTCTGACCAACACACTGCACTCTCACACTTACTAATGCACTACAGTTTCACTCACTCTCCCTCTCACTCAATGACACACCATTTTCTTACTCCCACCAACACACGGCAATCGCACTCTGACTGACACACTACAGTCTCACGCTCCTTCTCGCACTGACACACTGCTTCCCGACTCCCACTGAAACACTGCAGCCTCACACTCACTAACACACTTCAGCCCACTCTCACTGACACAATGTGGCCTCACACTCATTGATACTCAGCAATCTCACTCCCACTGACACACTACAGTCTCACCCACACTGACACACTGCATTTTCACACTCACTGATATATTGCGGTCCCACACTCAATGACACACTACAGTCTCTCACTCTCCCTCTCACTCAATGACACACTGTTTTCCTACTCTAACACAATGCAGTTTAAAATCACTGACACGCCGCAGTCTCCCTCTGACTGACGCGCCGCAGTCTCCCTCTGTCTCTATGTGGTCTTGCACTCTCACACTGCAGTCTCACACTCACTCACACACTGCTGTCTCACTCACTCACACACTGCAGTCTCACACTCACTCACACACTGCAGTCTCACACTCACTCAGGCACTGCAGTCTCACACTCACTCACACACTGCTGTCTCAATTTTTCTCTCCCGCTGATACGATGCAGCCTCACACTGATTGACACAATGAACCTTCACTCACACTGACACACTGCAGCCTCACTCATACTGACACGCTGCAGCATCACTCCCACTGACACACTGCATTTTCACACTCACTGACACACTACAGCCTGACATTCAGTGACACACTACAGTCTGACATTCACTGACACATTGCAGTTCCTCTCTCACTGACAGACTAGTCTCGCACTCTGTCTCTCTCTCCGACTGACACACAGCTTTCCTACTCCCACTAACACACTGCAGTTTAACAATCACTGACACACTGCAGTCCCGCTCTGACTGACAAACTACAGTCTCTCTCCCACTGACACACTGAAGTTTCAATCTCTCTCTCCCACGGACACTGCAGTGCCACACTGCATTTTCTCTCTCACTGACATCATGTAGTATTGCACTCACACACTGCAGTCCCAGTCTCACTAACCCACTGCAGTCTCACTCCCACTGAAACACTACTGTCTCACTCTCTCTGACACAGTGCAGTGTCACACTCACTGGTACGCTGCAGTCACACACTTATTGACACCCTGAAGTCCCAGACTCACTGACACAGTGCGGCCTCACCCTTTGACAATCTGCAGTCTCATTTCCACTTACACACTGCAACCTCACTCACACTGATACACTATATTTTCGCAATCACTGACACACTTTCTGATTCACTGCTACTGAGACACTGTACTTTCACACTCACTGGTATGCTGTATTTTCACACTCATTGACACCCTGTAGTCTCACTCTCCCTGAAACACTGCAGACTCACACTCATTAACACACTGCACTCTCCCTTCTGTTGACAGACTGCAGTCTCACTCTCACTATTACCATGTAGTCTCACACTGATTTACACCTTATTTACTCACTCTGACACATTGCAGTCCCACTCTCACTGACACACTACAGACTCACTCTGTCTCACCCACTAATGCACTGTTTTCGTACTCCCACCAACACACTGCAGTTTAACCATCACTGACACACTGCAGTCTCACTCTGACTGACAGGCTGTAGTCTCGCACTTACGACACACTGTACTTTCACAGTCACTGGCACAATGTAGTCCCAAACTCACTGTCACACTGCAGTCTCACTTGCACTGAGGAGTCTTTGTACTTTCACACTCATTGACAGTCTGCAGTCTCAATCTGTCTCTCCCACTGATGCACTGCAGTCTCCCGCTCATTGACACTGCAGTGTCACACTGCATTTTCTCTCTCACTGACACGATGTGGTATTGCTCTCACACAGCTGTCTCACACTCATTAACACTTTGCTGTTTCACTTCCACTGACACACTGCTATCTCACACTCCCTGACACACCACAATATTATTCACACTGACACAGTGCTGTCCTACTCTCAGTGACAAAGTGCAGTTTCACTCGCACACTGTACTTTCATTCTCACTGACATACTGTGGTCTCACACTAATTGACACACTGCAGCCTAACAATCACTGACATACTGCAGTCCCACTCTCTCCAATGCATTGCAGTCTCCCACTCACTGATACACTATACTTTCACACTCACTGGCACACTGCAACCTCACACTCATTGACACTCTGCTGTCTTACACTCACTTACATGCTGCTTTCCACTCTCACTGAGGCAGTGCAGTGTCACACTCATCGATACACTGCAGTCTGACTCTCACTGACACACTGCAGACTCACTCACTGATACTGCAGTATCACACTGCATTTTGTTTCATTGACGTTATTGAGTCTTGCACTCACAAACGGCAGTCTCACACTCAATACCACACTGCAGCCTGACTCCTGCACTCTCCCATTGACCTGCTTTCACTAACTGACTGCAATCTCACAATCCCTGACACTCTGCACTTTCACACAGTGCACCGTCACTCACTGAGACGCTGCAGTCTCACTCTCACTGACACGCTGCAGTCTGTCTCTCACTGACACGCTGCAGTCTGTCTCTCACTGACACGCTGCAGACTGCCTCTCACTGACACGCTGCAGTCTCACTCTCACTGACACGTTGCAGTCTCACTCTCACTTTTACGCTGCAGTCTGTCTCTCACTGACACGCTGCAGTCTCACTCTTACTAACAGGCTGCAGTCTCACTCTTACTAACAGGCTGCAGTCTCACTCTCACTGACACGTTGCAGTCTCACTCTCACTGACACGCTGCAGTCTCACTCTCACTGACACGCTGCAGTCTCACTCTGCATTTTCTATCTCACTGACACTAGTCTCGCACTCACACACTGCAGTCTCTTTCCATTGACACACTGCAGTCTCACACTCACTGTCACCATGTAGTCTCACCCTCACTTATGCACAACTCTCACTAATTGACACTGTACAACTCCAACTTACTGATGTGTTCTGTGCTGTCTTTCATGCATTGCCAGATGTTAAGTGATATGTTTTGTGATGTTTCCCTCTCTGTTTAGTTGCAGTGCTGTGGAGACTCATTACCAGATCCTAATGTGCAGCATCTGTGTCCTACGTTGCAAGTATCTGCGGTGAGTTCCATGTTTTAAGCTGAATTCTAGACCTGATTGCTTTCTTCACTTGCCCATTCTTGCAGAGTGTCAGTGACCCTTCAACTACAAACTTTAGTACTGACCTCTAGCATTCTGTCCTCTGAATCTTACAAAATAAAGCAATGTGGTCTATTGATTGAAGCTGTTGCATCTATTTTCATACAGGCCTTTCCTTCCAGTCCTTAATCAATTTTCAATTCTGCTGCAAGTTTTCCCAATCTGAATAGATATTTTTCAAATCAACTTGTTAAGAGATGTCTGACACCCTCTGGAGCAGGGTGGGACTTCAACCCAAGACCTCTGGCTCAGAGGTAAAGACACTACCACTGTACCTCAAAAGCCCTCCATTCTGAGTCATAGTGTCTCTTAAATAAACTTCACCTGACGGTAGGCAACATCTGTGCTTTGCTGTGGAGCATTAGACTCGTAGTTGTGTTGCCCTGGTTACGCAAGCAATAAACCTTTTGTTTCCACATATTCTTTCATCGACCTCAACAATGTATTTCTCATTGCCATTCATGAAACTGAGTTCAGTGTAAAGACGGAGTTTGAACAGAGTCTTGTACACCCTACAATATTCCCTTTGTATTGATCCCTGGGAGACTGCATAGCACTGATCACAATCAGAGCTCACTGTGATTCAGGGCTAACATGCTGTCTTTGAGAAAGAATATTGTGTTTTTATGCACCACTCCAGTTGATCATCCTAACTGAGATTTCAATAATATGCAGAGACAGACCTGCACTGTTGGAGGTGCCATCTTTCAGAAAATCCGTTCACCTGAGAGTTGCCTGCCCTCTACCTTGCACATAAATATCCCACTCTGCTATTTTCAGGAAGACCGGGGAGTTCTTACTGTCCTACTCAATATTTACCTCAAGGAACATGACTAAAATAAACTTTAGGGAAGGAGACTGGGAACAACACTTGGGAAAATTGCTTTTGCATAATCAAATCACTTATTCACTGTTATCTATGAAAGTATGCCACTTTCCCCCAACTTCTGATCCCTATCGCTGAGATTGGAAATGCTTCCTGTTAATGTCTCCACAGAACTGCACTTCGAAATTAAAGGAATTTTTCAACTCAAAGCTATACATGATTGGAGTGGTGGGAATCGGGATCACAGGAATAATGGTAAGTGATATCAACTCCCTCTCCTGGTCTGTGGAAAGCAGCTCTATTGAGATAGTCCCAAAGACCTGCAGGGTCAAAGGTTTCTGCTACAGAGCGTGCGGCCAGTCTGGTGATCCCATTTTGACATCTTGTCAAACTGACAAATAAATTGTAACCCCTGGGGCTAGCACCAAGATTTAGCTAATGGTTTTATTAAATGTCTTATGAAGTGTATGTAAATAACATGAGAGATTAAGTAATAATAGAGACACAGTGACAGACATTTAATGGATATTTCAGAATATCCAGAATAAGTCCAGAGATGTGCAGGTTAGGTGGATTGGCCATGCTAAGTTGCCCATAGTGTTCAGGGATGTGTAGGCTGGGTGGATTAGCTGTGATATATGCAAGTTTATAGGGATAGAATAGGGAGGTGGGTATGGGTGGGATTCTGTTCAGAGGTTTGGTGTGGACTCAATGGGCTGAATGGCCTGCTTCCACACTGTAGGGATTCTATGAAGTATATTTCAAATGTAAAGAATTCTAGCTGCAAGGGCCACATCCAGCTCTGTCTTGAATATTTGTAATGAACTGCCCCCAACAACTTCCTGTGGTAGAGAATTCCACAGGTTCACAACTCTTTGAATCAAGAAATTCTTCCTTATCTCAGTCCTGAATGGCTTACCCCTTATTCTTAGACTGTGACTCCTTGTTCTGGACTCCCCCAACATTGGGAACGTTCTTCCCGCATCTAGCCTGTCCAGTCCTGTCAGGATTTTATATGTTTGTATGAGATCCTCCTTCATTCTTCTAAATTCCTGCAAGTACAAGTCCATTTGACCCAGTCTTTCCTCATATGTCAGTCCTGTCATCCCAGGAATCAGTCTGGTGAACCTTCGCTGGACTCCCTGAATAGCAATAATGTCCTGCATCAGACTAGGAGACCAAAACTGCAGAAGTTCCTCAGAGTGGTGTTCTCTGCCCAACCATCTTCAGCTGCTTCGTCAATGACGTTCCTTCCATCCTAAGGTCAGAGGTGGGAGTGTTCACCGATGTTTGCACAATGTTCAGCACCATTTGCAACTCTTAAGATATTGAAGCAGCCCATGTTCAAATGCAACAGGATCTGGACAACATCCAGGCTAACAACTGGTAAGTAACATTTACCCCACACAAATGCAGGCAATGACCATCTACAATAACAGATGATCTCATCACCGCTCTTGACAATCAATGGTGTTACTATCATTGAATCGCCCATTATTGACCATTGATCAAAAACTGAAGTGGACTAGCCATATAAACACAGTGGCTACAAAAGCAGGTCAGAGGCCAGGAATCTTGCAGTAAGTAATTCACCATCTGTCTCCCCAAAGCCTGTCCACCATCTGCAAGGCACAAATTGAGAGTTTGATGGAAAACTCCCCCCTTGCCTGGATGGGTGCATCTCCATTCACACACAAAATGCTTGGCACCACCAGGACAAAGCAGCCCGCTTGATTGGCACTACATCTGCACTCTCCACCACCGATGCTCAGTAGCAGCAGGACCATCTACAAGACTCCTTGGATAGCACCTTCCAAACCCATGGCCACTTCCATCTAGAACAACGAGGACAGCAGATACATGAGAAAACCACCAGCTGTAATTTTTCCTCCAAGCCACTTACCAGCCTGACTTGGAAATACGTTACTGTCCCTTCACTGTCGCTGGGTCAAAATCCTAGCGCTCCCTGCATAACGGCATTATAGATCTATCTACAACAGATGAACTGCAGCAGTTCAAGAAGGCAGTTCACCAACACCTCCTCAACGGCAACTCTGGACAGGCAATAAATCTGGCCCAGTTAGCAATTCCCATATCCCACGAGTGAATGAAAAAGATGCTAGACTTGTGTGTAAAGGCTACAATTTCAGCATTTTCAGTGATAACAATGCTTGCAAGCATTGTAGACTGTGAGGAGGATATTACTGGATTTTACAAGGACATAGGTTGGTGGAATTGGTGGACAAGGGACAGATGGGAAAGTTAATGCAGAGAGTTGTGTCATATATTGAACAGATCCCTGAAAATACCTCTTAAGACAGCTAGGTGATTTCATGACATGTGACACTAATATACAATGTCTCCACCTTACTCTGTATATTCAATCAGCAGTCAACAGAGACAGTCAATCTGCTATCCAGTCATTCAGTAAACTATATACTGTAATTGTAATCTAAGTAAGCATAGATCCCAGGCTGTATATGTACGCCTGAGATGTCATATCAGCATGTATAGTTGTTAATAAACTTCCAGATATCTGATGCATTACAAACCCAGTTCTGCAGTATATGTTATGTGGGCTGACAAGATGCACATTTAAGATAGAGTCTACTGATTACATCAGAGTGAAATGATTCACTTTCATCGGAAAAACATGGAGAGAGAATGAAAAATTAAGGGAATACAGAAGCAGGCCGAGCTGGGTATATATATATGCAAGTCACTTCAGGTGTCAGACAAGCTGAGAGATCAGTTAATGAGGCAAACAGTATCCTGGCCTTTCTTAATAGGAGCATAGACACAAAACAAAGAAATTATTCTAAACTTGTATAAAACATCTCAACTAGAACATTATGCCCAGTTCATCATAGAATCCCTACAGTGTAGAAAGAGGCCATCCGGAGCATTGGGTCTGCACCAACCCTCCAGAGAACAGCCCATCCAAACCCAGCCCCCCACCCTATAGCCCATGTCTCTCATTATTTTTTTACCATGGCCAAACTGCCTAGCCTGCACATCCCTGGACACTATGGACAATTTAGCATGGCCAATCCACCTAACCTCACATCCTTGGACTGTGGGAGGGAACCGGAGCACCCAGAGGAAACCCACACGGACGCGGGGAGAATGTGCAAACTCCACACAGACAGTTGCCCGAGGCTGGAATTAAACCCAAATCCCTGGCGCTGTGAGGCGGCAGTACTAACCACAGCCATCGTGCTGCCCTAGTGCAGTTCTGGCATTGCACATTAAGGAAGATACAAAGGTACTAGAGAGAATGCAGAAAAGATTCATGATAGTGATTCTGGGGATGACGAACTTCAGTGGTAAGGATAGATTATGGAATTTGGAAATGTTTTCTTTGGAGAAGAGAATGTTAGGAAGAGATTTGATAAAGATGTTGAAAATCATGAGACATCTTGTATAGAGTATATTAAGAGATACTGTTCCTATTGGTGGAAGAATCAAGAACCAGAAGACACAGATTTAAGATGATTGAAAAAAGAAGCAAGGTTGACATGAGCAAGATATTTTTCATCAGGAAGATTCAGAAAGTGCTGCCTGGGAGTGTGGTGGAGGCAGCTTCAATTGAGGCATTTAAGAGGGAATTGGATTCTTGTCTGGAAAGGAAGAACTTTCAGTGTTTATTGAGAGATGCAGTGGAGTGATATGAGTTGAATTGTCCCTTCTGATGGCCAGAATGGATAGGACAGGCCAAATGGCCTAACTGTGTGTCTTGTCTGTTGTATGGTTCTGTAATATTCTTTTTTATAATGTGATGATATTATGGTTTTAAAAGATGTAGTTTGTCCTTTTTTTAAAGAAGAGAGGTTGAGACAGAGGTACTGAGTGGTCTGTCCCAACCTAATAAAGGAAAACAGATTGTAAGGCCTTGAGATTTTTTTTAAAGATAGAACAATAGAAGCAACTTAAAGGGCTTGGATCAAGCTCCCACTGAACCAGGATTTTAGTTTAACTTCTGGTAGATGTTGCGGATTAGAAGCTGCTATACATCTCTCCCTGCTACAGCAAAATGCTTGAGTTCTCTCTCTCTCCCTCTCTCTCTTTCTCTAACTGACTTTTCTATTGCTGTTCTTTCCTCCTGAACTGGAGAATTGCATGTGAGACAGTTATTTTACTGAATTTGCCTTTGCTAAGGGCTTGTTTATAGGGATATTACTATTTTGGAACAGTTGCTGTTTAGAAGTGAAATAATCTATTATTCTGTTAGGTTTTCCAATTGACTTATGTAATTTCAATCTTTGTTTTGTTTGTATTTTACCTATAATGTAACAATAAAATGTATTTTGCTTCAAGCCTGATAGTTTGACCAATCAAATTGCATCCAGAACATAATGCCTTATACGTGTCTCTAAAAATAAGTAAAATTTGGGGTCTAGGCTATCTTCTTAATATATTCTGAGGGAGTTTGGTCTGGGCCATAATAATAAAAATGAATGTGTTTGTTACTAAATGGACAGCATAAATATGGATGTTAAATTGAAAGAAAGAATGAGTAGTGATGAATACTTTTTCAGGCTGGAGAGAAGTGTACGATGGTGTTTCCCAAAGATTCTTCTGAATTATATGAATGATTGGACTTAGGTAGGCAAAGTACGATTTAAATATTTGCCAGTATTTCAAACTCAGAAATGTAGCAAAACCATTGGAAGGCTAATAGCATACTTGAGGAAGACAGAGACTGCTGAAAAACAGGGAGCAAATTAAAATTAAGTGAAAAGTAATACAATAATAGTGGCAGGAGAACGTGGAAACACAATATTATTTAAATGGCACAAGTTAAAATGTTTGATAATGGCTGGACAAGTTGAGAAGTAATCAAATGGGACCCTTGGTTTATTAATTGATATATAGGTTACACAAGCAAAATGAAAGCTTCATAGTTGATCTCAGCTGGAAAATTATTGTCACCAACATGAAGAGAGGTGTGAAAACTTTGGAGAGGGTCAAAGAGATTTCTGGGAACATTTTCAGGAATGAGGGAATTCAGTTACAGGGATAGATTGGAGAAGAGAAAGGTAAGAGGTGATTTACTGGAGTTGGCAAAAATCCTTGATAGCTTTGATGGAAGTAAATAAGAAATAATATTTTGGCAAAAGTATCAGCAATTGGAGGAAATTGAGATGTGTGAGGAAAGATTTTTTACATGGAGATGGTAGGTGCCTGGAATGCGCTGCCAGAGGATCTGGTAGAAGCAAATACAGTAGCAACGTTTATATGTGATGCAAACTTCCAAGAATTATGTACCTGAAACCCTAAGTCCATATGTTCTACAACACTACCTAAGGCCCTACCATTAATTGTATAAGTCCTACCCCTGTTTGTTGTACCAAAATTCAATACCTCACATTTATCCAGATTGAACTCTGTCTGCCATAGTCCAGAGTGTGCTAAGAATTATGCTAACAACCAGTTTAAGATTCAGTCAGGTGTGCAACGTTGCTCACTTATACTGACTACAAGCTGCATAAATTCTCATGCAGGGCCCTGCTGACTGCAAACAGAAACAATGTGCACAGACAGCATGCATTTCTCAATTAACAGAAATCTGGAGGTCACTATTAGAACATAGAACATAGAACAGTACAGCATATTTCAGGCCCTTTGGCCCACGATGTTGTGCTGAACGTTTGCCCTAAACCTAAGGTCTATCGAACCTCCATCCCTACATTATACTATCATACACTACCTTATGCTATTCTTTGATACATTCCTCATATGACCCCTACTAATCAGAGCCGATCTATTCCTTTTGAAAGGGAAACAAGCTTGGAAAATATCTGTTCCCTGGTGAATTTTCCATGGCAACATCTCAACCAATCAGAGTCTATTTGCCAATCAATCAGCACTCGTCTTTTGCCATGCAGTATAAATTGTTGCTCCCTATAAATTTGGTATTCTTGTCTATGTCCCGATTCATACAAGATGAAAAACTTTTGACAGAATGCTTATTTTACGGCAAAACCAATCTTTTTATTTAAACATCATTGCAACTTATGCTGCTATCTTTAAGGATTTGTTTTTAAATAAAAGATTTAGTACCAGAGCATTTGGAAAACAGAGACAGATCAGACAGGGTCAACATGATTTATGAAAGGGAAATCATGCTTGACAAATCTGCTGGAAATTTTGAATATGTAACTAGTATAGTTGATAAGGGAGATGTTTGTGGATATGGTTAGAAGGTGTGCGATAATGTCCCATGTAAGAGATGAGCACGTAAAATTAAAGTATATGAGATTGAGGGGTAATGTACTGACATGGATAGAAAAGTGGTTGGCGAAACAGGAAACAAAGGGTATAAATAAGTGGATCACTTTCTGAGTGGCAGTGGGAATATGCAGAGATCAGTGTTTGGTGGCACGGTGGCTCAGTGGTTAGCACAGCTGCCTCACAGCACCAGGGACTCAGGTTCAATTCCACCATCAGGTGACTGTCTGGGTGCACTGGTTTCCTCCCACAGTCCAAAGATGTGCAGGTTAGGTAGTTTGGCCATGCTAAATTGCCCATAGTGTCCAGTGATGTGCAGGCTAGGTGGATTAGCCATGGGAAATGCAGGGTTACAGGGATAGGGTAGGGGTGTGGATCTGGGTGGCTGCTGTTCAGAAGGTTGGTGTGCACGTGATGGGCTGAATGGCTTCCCTCCACACTGTAAGGATTCTACGACTCAAGCTATTCCCAATGTTTGCAAATGACACAAAGCTGGGTGGGAGGGTGAACTGATGCATCAGTGTGATTTGGACAGGTTGAATGAGTGGAAATATACATGGCAGATATAGATAAATGTAAGGTTATCCACTTTGGTAGCAAAAACAGGAAGGCAGATTGCAATTTGAATGGCAACAGATTGGGAAAGGTTGAGGTGCCATGAGACCTGGGTGTCCTTGTACACCAGTCACTGAAAGTAAGCAGGAACAAAAACAAAGTTGCTGGAAAAGCTCAGCAGGTCTGGCAGCATCTGTGGAGGAGAAAACAGATTTAACATTTCGGGTCCGGTGACCCTACCTGAAATGTTAACTCTGTTTTCTCCTTCACAGATGCTGCCAGACCTGCTGAGCTCTTCCAGCAACTTTGTTTTTGTTCCTGATTTACAGCATCCGCAGTTCTTTTGGTTTTTATTTACTGAAAGTAAGCATGCAGATGCAGCAGTTGGTGAAGAAGGTAGATGGTATGTTGGCCTACATAGCGTGAGGATTTGAGTATAGGAGCAGGGATGTCTTACTGCAATTGTACAGAGCCTTTGTGAGACCACACCTGGAATATTGTGTGTGAATTTGGTTGTCTTACCTGACGAAGGATGTTTGGAGGGAGGGAGTGCAACAAAGGTTTACCAGATTGATTGCTGGGATGGCAGGCCTAACATGTGAAGAGGGACTGGACTGGTTAGAACAAAAGTCACTGGAGTTTAGAGGAATGAGGTAGAATTTCATAGAAACCTATAAAATTCTAACAAGAGCAGACAGGATAAATACAAGAAGGATGTTCCCAATGACCAGGGAGTCAAGACAATTTAAGGATATGGGGTCGGCCATTTAGGAGTGGGATGAGGAGAGATTTCTTCATCCAGAAGGTGGTGAGTCTGTGAAATTCTCTGCCACACAAAAATTTGAGAAGGAGTTAGATATTGTCCTTAGGGATAAAGGGATCAAAGGGTATGGGAAAAGCAGGATTAGTGGACTGAGTTGCATGATCAGCGATGACCATATTGAATGGTGGAGCAGTTTTGAAGTGTCAAGTGGCCTACATCTACTCCTATTTTCTATGTTTTTACTCATCTACAATTTCATAATTGTGCTATTTATGTTAAATAATTTGTTATGACCCTGTTAGGCACCATTAACATTCTAAAATGAAATTCAATGCTCAGTAATTAACTGACTCAAAAATCATATGACACCAGGTTATAGTCCAACAAGTTTATTTGAAATCACAAGCTTTCAGCGTGCTACTCCTTTGTTAAATGAAGTAATTTCACTCGACGAAGGAGCAGCACTGCAAAAGCTTGTGATTTTAAATAAACCTGTTTGACTATAACCTGGTGTTGTGTGACTTCTGACTTTGTCCACCCCAGTCGAACCCTGGCACCTCCACATCACAGTAATTAGCAAACAGAATTATTCCACAAGGTGTCATGTTCTTTCAACAAAAACAAACTTATTGTATATAAAGAGAAACTAAACAAAGAAAACATTGCTAGCTTAATATTATAGGTTATAAATACTTTTATGTTATAAGCTCAATTCCACATTTTAGTTCCCTTATCTTATTAAATAGTGAAGTTTCATTGTCTTTTCCTGGGACCAATCCTAATGGTATGCCATAGCAGTTCAGAATTTATTTGAATTCTCCTTCATATTCCAGCCATTCTTCAAGGTAAGAATTACATGGGGACTTTTTTTTTTACTTGCTTTTGACGAAATGACCCTTCAGTTTTCACAATGGTGGACTTTTCACCTCCCTATTCTTATTTTGATCATAAATAGCATGTTTATTTCCCAGTTTGCACATGTAACTTCAGTACAACTCTTACCATGCTAACTTTTTAAGCTGACTGCTTTCTGCTGCAACGATCTGTGAAGACCACTGGAGATTTATTTCACTAGCTGTAAGCAGCAGCAAAACGTCCAGTTGCTTTTCCCTTACAAAGCCCAAACTGAAGTGTTTGCTTCTGGCCACAAAAAAAGACGGAAAAATTAAGAAAAATCAAAAGAATCTTTGAACTAAGGCTATCTCTGTGGTAACATGGCATATTAAGGGTTGATTCAATCACAAATGCATAAAAAATTACTTTCAACAGAATTCTTTGATTCTGCAACCTGTAGGAATAATTTATATTTCTAATGGACATCATCGTGCTCTCCCTCCATGTTCCCAAGCTCTGTTGCATGACAAGAGACAGATCATTCATTGTTCAAGTTTTTGTCATGAATTCTGACCTTCCTAGGCTATCTTTTAAATGCAGTCAACTCCAAAAAATTACTTGTAATGCATTTACCTCAGAGTTGCTTATCTGTTTATAAAGCAGAGTCTCCCATTTGTTCATGGTTAATATTTTAAATCCTATAATTAAAAGTTACTTTGTAAAATATATGTATAATGAACCAGATTTTCACAAATTATCTCCCTATATTAATCCTTGCAAGTGCACTCTCTGAATTAAGTCCATCTGCATGCTCCTGGCTATTTTACTCTTCTATCTGTCAGCCTGAAGACGCGAACAATCTCTCCACATTCTACTATAAATGTTGTATCATCTGCAAATTTTATAATGCTGCTTCATACACTTTACAATAGGTCATTTGTAAGAAAGAAAAGGGCTTGAACAGAAAGGATTGAATGCAATGGGGAGGTGCCTGTGATGAGTTGGATAATGTTATCAAAGAGCTTATCACAGTCATAATGAGCTGCATGGCCTCTGTCTGAGTGATAACAGATTACTTTCTGCTGATTTTATTGCATTCTCAGTTTGTTAAAGAGTTTATTGCCAATGCTGTGTTCTTTGCTGTGACATTTAGAATTTTGCAGAAACTGGTATAATTTTCTGCTTCTCACTACTGATGCACTTATGTTGTGTTATTTGACAGATATTTGGGATGATCTTCAGTATGGTTCTGTGCTGTGCGATTCGGAATTCACAGGACATGATGTGACATTTGGCTGGTTGCAGCGACTCTTTCAATACTATGTGCACCTTTCGAATTGGAAATTGATCCAATATCTAGTTGCTTGTTGGTTAATTTAAGTAGATACCAATTATTTTTCTGTATTGTGAAAAAAAAACCTGGGCAGGTTCTCATTCTTGTAATGCTTCAATTATTTTACATAAACTTGTGAAAATTCTTGCAATTGTTTTAAACAAAAGATGCTAAATATATGGTGTCATTTGAATAAACTGGTTGACCGGGTGGAATTGCGTACTGACTTGGATGCACAGAGGTCTGGTTGCCATTTTTGTGAGACCTGGTTGCACATTCAGGCCTGGTTACAGTGAGATAACAAGGTGTAGAGCTGGATGAACACAGCAGGCCAAGCAGCATCAGAGGAGCAGGAAAGCTGATTTCTGAAGAAGGGTCTAGGCCCGAAATGTCAGCTTTCCTGCTCCTCTGATGCTGCTTGGCCTGCTGTTTTCATCCAGCTCTACACCTTGTTATCTCAGATTCTCCAGCATCTGCAGTTCCTACTATCTCTGGTTACTAGGCCTGGTTGCAACTCCTTGTTAGCTGGAAATCTACTATTTTGAGACCTGATTACCAGTTCAGTGAGGTCTGTTTACCCGTGAGCCTGGTTACCTGTGAGATCTGGTTACTATATCAGTGACGCATGTTTACCTATAGCACCAGGTTACCAGATTCAGTGAGACCTGGTTACCAGTGAAGCCAATACCAGTTCACTGTGTCCTGATTAACAATTCAATGATGCCTACTTACTAGTTCACTGAGGCCATGTTACCAATTCATGAAGGCCAGTTACTGGTTTGGTACAGCCTGGTTACTCTCTGTAGTCCTGTAATTGGACATCACATTGCAAAAAAATGACTTATTCTTATAGCATTTTTAATGTAATAAGCGATAACATTCCAAGGCATTTCACAGGAACTTTATAAAACAAAGTATGACACTGAGCCACATAATATATTAAATGTTCAAAAGCTTAGTCAAAGAGATAAGCTTTAAGGAACAAAAACAGAAGTTGCTGGAAAAACTCAGCAGGTCTGGCAGCATCTCTGAAGAGAAATCAGAGTTAACATTTCAGTTCCAGTGACCCAGTTCTGAGGAAGGGTCATTGGACCCGAAGTGTTAACTCTGATTTCTCTTCACAGATGCTGCCAGACCTGCTGAGCTTTTCCAGCAAAGTCTGCTTTTGTTCCTGAGTCCACAGTTCTTTCGTTTTTTATTTAGGCACGTTTTAGGAGTATCTTAAAGGAGGAACATAAGGTTGAGATGTGAGAGGTGGAGTGTGGGAATTGGGGCACACTAAACTGAAGGCAAGGTGACTAGAAGTGGAATGATTAAAATCAGAGATACTCATGAGGCAGAATTAGAGGAGTGTAGAAATCTTAAATTAAGTTCTGGAAAACTCAGCACTTTTTTCATTCATGAGATATGGGCGTCCCTGGCTAGTTTAGCATTTATTACACATCCCTGATGCCCAGCGGGCAGTTAAATGTCAACCACATTCTTGTGGGTCTAAAGTCACATGTATGTAAGGATTGGCAGTTTCCTTCCCTAAAGGGCATTAGTGAACCAGATGGGTTTTCCTGACAAGAGCTTCATGGTTATCATTAGACTATTAATTCCAGTTTTGTTTTAATTGAATCAAATTCCACCAGCTGCCATGGCAGGATTTGATCCCAAGTCCCCAGAACATTACTCGGGTTTCTGAAGTAATAATCCAGGGACAATACCACTAGCCTGTCACCTCCCCATGTCTGGCAGTATCTCTAGAGGGAGAAACAGTTAACGTTTCAAGGCCAATATGATTTATTTGGAGATCTGGGTGTAGCTGATTATGGAGATAGGGAGGTATGAAGTCATACAGTGGTTTTAACAATAAGTTTGGGAATTTTAAAAATAAGATGTTGCCTGATCTGGAACAAGTGTAGGTCAGAGCTCAGTGGTTGATGCTGGAATAGGAGTTAAGGCATAAGTAAGCATGAATTTTGAATAACCTGAAGTTTTACAGAGGGAAGAAAGTGGGAGACTGGCCGGAAGTGTGTTGGAATGGTCAAGTTTAGAGGTACCAAACACCTGAAGGAAGGTTTCAGCAGATGATGCAAGGAAGGCAATGTAATGAAGGTAGAAATCGATGGTTTTCGTGAAGACGAGTTTGGGAGCTCATCCTGGGGTCAAATATGACACCAAGATTATGAGCACACTGGTTTAGTGTCAGACACTTATCGGGAACAATGGAGTTCAGAATGGGAAGAGAGCATTTCTATCTTCCTGCTACTTAATTTGATGAAATGTCAGCCCACGCAGTACTGGAGACCAGAGAAGCAGTCTGATAATTTAGCAACAGATAATGGAGTAGGAGAAGGAAAAGAATTGGAAATGAATCTCCAGGTACGATTGGAAAAATGTTAGAATCTAAATCATGTTATAGCAGAGCTTTTAAAAACAGTCAACATGGCTTCAGGAAGGGGCAATATTTGTCCTTTGAGGAGTTAAACAAAATAGATAAAGAGGACCTAGTAGACAGCGTATGTTTGGATTTCCTAAAGGTGTTCATTGACATACTTTATGTAGGGCTAGTTAAGAACGTATGATTCCATGATGTTGGAGGTACTGTATTAGCTTGAAGAGTCTAACTGATAGAAGACAGAGAGTGGGGATCAGGGAGACATATTTCAGGATGATAATCTATAACTAGTGGAGTGTGACAGTGCTGGGGCCACAATTATTTACGATGTATATTAAACACTTGGATGAGTAAAGCCACTAAATTTGTGGATGACACAAAAATAGGTTGGAAGGATGATAATGAAGAGTCTATTGGGAGCTATAGACAAAAACCTAGCAGAAGGAATCTAATATGAAATGTGAGGATATACACATTGACAGGAAGAATTGAAGAGCTGAATATTATTTAAATTGGAAAAGCTACATCAAGAGGGATTTTGGGGTCCTCATCCGTAAATCACAAAATCTGGCATACAAGTTCAAGGGTAATAGGGCAGGCAAATGCAATGTTGCAATTTATTTCAAAGGGAGTGGAGTATAAAAATAGGGAGATCTTGCTAAAAATAGGAAAGGCACTGGCCAGACCACAGCTGGAATACTGTGAACAGTTTTGGCCCTGTCATCTAAGGAAAGATATACTGGAACTGGAGGCAGTCCAGAGAAGGTTCATGAGGTTTATTCTGGGTATGGAGGGATATTCTTATGAGGAGAGGTTGAGTAAGTTGGGCCTGTGCTCATTGGAATTTAGAAGAATGAGAGGCGACCTTATTAAAACCTACAAGATTCTTAGGGGATTTGTCAGGGTAAATTTGGAAAGGCTGTTTTCCCTTTTGGGAGAGGGCATCATCTCAGAGTAAGGGGGTGCACATTTAAAACAGATAATCTGTGGAATTCTTTGCTGCAGAGGGCGGAAGAGCTGGGTCATTAAGTATACTTAAGGCTGAGATGGACTGTGTTTTAATCAGGAGGAGAATCAAGGCTTATTTGGAAAAGGCAGGAAAGCGGAGTTGAGGATTGTTAGATCAACTATGATCTCATTGAATAATGGAGCAGACTCAGTGGGTCCTACTTCTGCTCCGACATATTCTGGCCTGTCGTTTTATGATGATGGTGGCAGGTGGGAGTACTCCCAACCAGCTGAACCACAGAGAGAGATGTTAGAAGGTGATGGCACCATGGAAGAGCCAAGGTTGCAGACAGGTTGGGAAGGAACATTTTTCTTTGCCACAGTTACATCGGACATCAAAGCCGAAAGCTCTGGATTTCTTGCCCAATGTGGAAGTAAATGTGATGAAGTCTAGTGGCCATCAGTGTTTTACATTCCTGATAAAGGTAAACCTTGAACTCACAAATAAATGGCTGAGCCAAAATTAAGGTCCAAAACAGTTTATTTACCATTAAACAGGCAACTCAACAGAACTTAATATAAAGAATAAATTTACAAGGAACAGTTTCCATTCTGTTCAAAATACACTTTTTACAATAAAATTGATGCTTGAAACATTTCCGTCTAATAGTTAAGAGTATTCCCAGGGAATCCTTCACACAGACACCCTCAAACTTTGACCCTCACTAACCCTCATACCCTCATCCTCCACCCCCTCTGTCACCTCACACCCTCAACTCACCCACCCTCAAACTCTCATCCTCTCACTCTCACCTCATTCACCGTAACCTCACCCACCCTCAAACTCACCCTCACATCCTCAAATTCTCACCCTCAAACTTTCACCCTCACATATTCCCACAATCTCACACTCTCGCCTCACTCACCCTTAAACCGTCACCTTCGACCCTGACCTCACTTACCCTCAAACTCTCATCCTCACCTCACACCTTCAAACTCTCATCCTCACACCCTCACCTCACTCACCCTCAAACTCTCACCCTTACCTACATCCTCATTCACCCTGAGACGCTCATCCTCATATTCTCAGACCGTCACACATCTTCACAATCTGACTTATACAATGGCACCCTTTTTCACCACCAGTCCTTCAGACTGTGGCCCTCACTCACCCTTCCACACTCAACTCCATCATCACTCACCCTCACCATCACAGCCTCACACACTCACTCTCATGTTCACTCACCTTCACACCCTTGATCTCGTTCACTAACCCTTACCATCACATCCTTGCTGTTACATTCACTCACCCTCATGTTCACACACCTCACCCTCACGTCCTTGCTCACATGTTCACTCATCCTCATACACTCACTCTCAAACCCTCAGTTGCCCTCACATTCTTACCTACACGACCTTCAATTACCCTTATACCCTCAACCTTACACACCATCACAAACACCCACACACAGCCTCTGACCTTGTCCATGCCTCTCACCCATCACACCCACTGAGAGTCAATGCCCCATCCATCAGAAAAATCTCTACCCACTTGCAAAAAATACGCAAATGCCTTCCTGTGACTCTGGAAAGGAGCCTGCTCACACACTATCCAGTTGAGTTAAGATACACATCTGATTTGATTTGAATTTTGGGGCAGACAGAAGGGGCTGAAGGGCCTCCTGCTGTTCCATGGTAAAAGGTGAGGAGCTGATGTGTTGAGCTGGGAATGGACTATCCAGAGTGGGACGTGGCCAGTGTATGGCTTTGGGTTATGAGTGCTGTGCAGTGGGGGAGGATGTTCTGGTTTTGTTGATGGAAGCAATGCAGTCTCGTGGGACAGATGATGCCAGGAGCAAAGCCTGATGCTCAGGACTCTCTTGGGGATTGAGCTTCTCCTCAT